ATTATTTGCAAATTAAAAGGCAATAGAATTAAAACATCTCTAATCGTAAAATATACTCTTTTTCTATTTTGAATGATTGTTTCAAGTATGAGCCAGGTTTCACGCCATTGTTATTTTTTTTTTAATGAAGAAATTTTTTCCCTTTGCAACAGTATGGATAGACCTGGAGAACATTGTGCTAAGTGAAATAAGCTTGTTGGTTAAAGACCAATACCATATGATTTCACTTATGTGGAATCTAATGGACAAACTGATCTAACAAGCAAAACAGAGACAGACTGATAGATGGAGAGCAGACTGACAGCTAGTGGCAGGGGAGGTTAGAGGGTGTTCAAAAAGGAAAGAGGGTGTTCAAAAGGTTAGATTGAGCAAAAAGGAAAAAGAACTCATGGACATGGACAACAATGTGGTGTTTACTGGGGTGGGAGGGTATAAGGGCACTAAATGGTAATGGGAAAAATACAATGAAGATTAAATTAAAAAAAAAAAGAAAAAAGGCTTCTTAGAAGAAGGACTTTGTCCATGTGTCTTTTACATGTTCATGACAACCCTTCCCCTCACCCCATTATCACCTCACACTTCCTCTCTGGTTACTGTTAGTTTGTTCTTAATTTCAGTGTCTCTGGTTATATTTTACTTGCTTGCTTGTTTTGTCGATAAGGTTCCAATTATTAGTGACATCATATGATATTTTTCTTTTGCCACCTGGGTTATTTCACTTACCATAATGCTCTCCAGTTCCATCCATGCTTTTGCAAAGGTGAGGAGTCCTTCTTTCTTCCGCTGCATAGTATTCCATTTTGCAAATGTACCATAGGTTTTTTATCCATTAATTTACTGATGGGCCCTTAGTTTGCTTCCAGTACTTGGCTATTGGAAATTGTGCTACTATGAGCATTGGGGTGCATAGGTTCTTTTGGATTGGTGTTTCAGGGTTCTTAGGATATAATCCTAGCAGTGGAATGGCTGGGTGAAAAGGCAGCTCCATTTTTAGTTTTCTCAGGAAATTTCATACTGTTCTCCCAGTAGCTGCACCAGTCTGCATTCCCACCAACAGTGCACTAGGGTTCCCTTTTCTCCACATCCTCTCCAATACTTGTTGCTTGTTGAATTGTTTATGATGGCCATTCTGACTGGTGTGAAGTGGCATCTCATTGTGGTTTTAATTTGCATCTCTCTGATGGCTAGTGATGCTGAGCATCCTTTCATATGTCTCTGGGCCCTCTGTATGCCCTCCTTGGAGAAGGGTCTATTCGGGTGGAGTTGTGTGAGTTCTTTATATAGTTTGGATATCAAACCATTTTGATGTCAAACCCTTGGATATCCAAGGTATCATTGGCAAATAAATTTTCCCATAGAGTTGTTCCCTTTTCATTTTGCTAATGTTTTCTTTAGCTGTGCTGAAGCTTTTTATTTTAATGAAGTCTAATTTGTTTATTCTTCCCTTGGTCTAGGGAGCATATCAGTGAAAATATTGCTGCGTGAAATATCTGAGATTTTCCTGCCTATATCTCCTCTAGGATTTTTATGATATCATGACTTATATTTAAGTATTTTATTCATCTTGAGTTTATTTTTGTGCATGGTCTAAGTTGGTGGTCGAGTTTTTTGCATGTAGCTGTCCAGTTCTCCCAACACCATTTTTTGAAGAGGCTATTTTGATTCCATTTTATGTTCCTGCCCACTTTGTTGAATATTAAATGACAACAGGGACTTGGGTTTATTTTTGGGCTCTCTATTCTTTTCTATTGATCTTTTTGTCTGTTCTTATGTCAGAACCAGACTCTTTTGATTACCATGGCCTTGTAATATAGTTTGATGTCAGGTATGGTGATCCCTCCTACATTGTTCTTCTTTTCAAAATTTCTGCAGCTATTCAGGGTCATTTATGGTTCTGTATAAATTTTTGAGGTATGTGTTCTGTGTCTGTGAAATATGTCATTTGTATTTTCATAGGGATTATGTTAAATCTATAAATTGCTTGGGTAGTATAGACATTTTGATGATGTTAAATCTTCCAATCCATGAGCATGATATATGCTTAAATTTATTTGTGTCTTCCTTAATTTCTTTTTTCAGCATTCTGGAGTTTTCTGAGTATAGGTCTTTCACCTCCTTTGTGAGGTTTCTTCCAAGATATTTTATTTTTCTTGTTGTTATAGCAAGAGGGATTTTTTTCCTGATTTCTGTTTCTTATATTTCATTTGTGGTACACAAAAATGCCTTCGATTTCTGAATATTGACTTTGGATCCCACTGTTTTTCCAAATTCACTTACTAGATCAAGTAGTTTTTTGCTGGAGTCTGTAGAGTTTTCTATATACACTACCATGTCATCTGCAAACAATGACAGTTTTACTTCCTCCTTTCCAAATTGAATGCCTTTTATTTCTTTTTCTTGTCTGATTACTGTAGCTAGAACTTCCAATATTATGTTGAATAGAAGTGGCAAAAGCAGACATCCTTGTTTTGTTCCTGATATTAGTGGGAAAACTTTTAGTTTTTGCCCATTGAGTATGATATTGGCTGTAGGTCTCTCATATATAGCCTTTGTTGTGATGAGGAATGCTCCCTGTATTCCTACTTTGGTGAGTGTTTTTATCATAAATGGGTGCTGTACATTCTCAAATGCTTTTTCTGCATCTATTGATATGATTATGTGGTTTTTATGTTTCCTTTTGTTTATGTGATGTATTACGTTTATTGATTTGTGAATATTGTACCATCTTTTCATCCTTGGGATGAATCCCACTTGATCATGGTGTATGATCTTTTTAATGTATTGCTGAATGCAGTTTGTCAATATTTTTTTGAGGATTTTAGCATCTATGTTCATCAGTGATATTGGTCCATAATTTTCTTTCTTTTTTTGTATCTTTATCTTGTTTTGGGATTAGGATGAAGCTGGCTTCATAAAAAGAGTTTGGGAGTCTTCTATCTTCTTGGGTTTTTTTGAAAAATCTGTGAAGGATAGGGGTTAGCTCTTCCTTAAATGTTTTGTAAAATTCTCCTGTGAAACTGTCCAGTCCAGGGCTTTTTTGTGCTGGGAGTTTTTTGATTACTGCTTCAATTTCATTGGCTGTTATTGGTCTGTTCAGGCTTTCTGCTTCTTCTTTCAGTTTGGAAGATTATATATTTTTAGAAACTTGTCCATTTCACCTAGCTTTTCAGATTTCTTGGCATATAGTTCTTCACAGTAATGTCTTACAATCCTTTGTATTTCTGTGGTGTTGGTTGTAATTTCTCCTCTTTCATTTCTGATTGTGTTTATTTGGGTCCTCTCTCTTTTTTTCTTGATGAGTGCACTTAAAGGCTTGTCAGTTTTGTTTATCTCTTCAAAGAATCAGCTTCTGGTTTTTTGATCCTTAGAATTGTTTCTTTAGTCTCTATGTTGTTTAATTCTGCTCTGATTTGGTTATTTCCTTCCTTCTACTTGCCCTGGGATGTCAAAAAAAAATAAATGAAAGTAAAATCTTTTAAAAGAGAGAGAAAAGAAAATTCCACCCTTGGCCAGGTGGCTCAATTAGTTGGATCATCATTCTGTACACGAAAAGTTTGTGGGTTTAATTTCTGGTTAAGGCACATGCCTACTTAATTTGTGGGTTTGATTCCTAGTTGGGGTGAGTATGGGAGGCACTGGATTTGTTAAGGTTGTGGTGAAATGAGCACTCCTATGCTGCTTTGGATACACAGCCATGTACTGTAAAAATAGAGACACTATTATTGAAGAAGTTACAAGATACAAGAAACATTGTACACAGGACAGTGACATCTCAGTCCCCTTAAAAGTAGGCACTTTGGGACCTCACACACTTCTCCCAGTTGCCATAAGCCACCCTGTTGTATTTTCCTTAATCTCATCAGTGATCTGAGATCTTTTCCCTTTCAAAGGTGACTTTAGTTTTGGAAAAAGGCAGAAGTTACAGGGCACCATATCTGGGCTGTAAGCAGGGTTCAATCACCTGGGTGATTTGATGTTTTGCCATCTCTGCAGAAGACATGATGCGTGAATAGGCATGTTGTGTGATGAAGCTGCCACTCAGCGGTTGCCTATAGCTGTGGCCTTCTGAATAATTCAAATAGTTTCCGCAGAGGAATGTTCAAGCTTAAGGCAAAATTTGATGCAGATTCCTTGCCCTACTTGCTGAGTCATTTTGAATGCACAGCCACGCAGTACACATGCTCACTCAACAGTGTCTACCGCCTCCACTGACTAGTACAGTGAAGTCATCATTGTTCACACATGTGCATTCCAGTCCACTCTCCTTGGCTGCCATGTTATTTCATGTCGCACAAACAGTTCTTGTTATATTAACAATGGCTGGACTTGTTCTGGATAGACCTTGTATATGTTTTGTTTGTGGATAAAGCTTTTACTTTATCCTTTATCTAAATACTTTTTTTCGAATACTGTATAACAAAATTTCTCAGACACAGTAGGGAGAATAGTGTAATGAAACAGACATACCCATTGCCCAGGTTCAGCAGTTATTCACATATGGTAATGTGTTTTATCAATATCCACAGTGATTTATCAACCTTATGTTGAGACAAATCCCAGACATATTGCATTCATAAATATTTTACAATACTATATAGATGTAAAAGGTAAGGGCTTGCAGCATGGTTCAGTGAGTTGGGCATCGCCCCGCAAAGCAATAGGCCCCCAGTTTGATTCCTGGTCAGGGCACAAACCTGGTTTGCGGGCCAGGTCCTTAGTGGGGAGTATGCGATAGGCAGCTCATCCATTGATGTGTCTCTTGCACATCAGTTTTTCTCTCCCTTCCTATCTCCCTCCCTTCCCCTCTCCCTAAAAATAAAGAAATAAAATCTTTAAAATATAAGGGTTTTTTTTTAAAACAATCACAATATCATTATCATACCTAAAATACTAAAATATACTGCCATTTCTCATAAATGTTATAAATATGTTATTAATATCTTTAAATTGGGTGAATTCTGTAATTCCTGTTGTGATTTCTTTTGTTTTCTGTTTTTAAGGTGGAACTTAACTTCTTGTGGAACAAGTGTTGCCAGCTCAGAATGCAGTGAGGAGCTGTTTTCATCAGTTTCTGTTGGAGACCAAGATGATTGCTATTCCTTATTAGATGATCAAGACTTCACTTCTTTTGACTTATTCCCTGAGGGGAGTGTGTGCAGTGACGTCTCTTCCTCTATTAGCACATACTGGGATTGGTCGGACAGCGAGTTTGAATGGCAGGTAGATTTTGTTTTCCTTATATTGTCATCGTTACTTTCTAAGTAGTGTGAATTTCTATTTTGGTATTTTCATCTCTGCCTCAAAGCAAACTTCTCTGGTATTTATCCATTGCTTCAGATACTCTGACATTAAGAATTAGATGGAATGTGTAGCCTTTATTTCTGCTAATGTATCTTTTAGGCTTCTGATGCTACTAATATTCTTTTGTAGATTTTCAAGTAACCTAATGCTTGTAAAATGTTCTAATTATTATGTATCATCAGTACCTTCCTATGTGTGAATCTAAGGAAATTTACTCTTTCTACATTATGATAAATAGCTTTCATGTCCTTATAGACACAGTGTCCTTATGTCAGGGTCATTTTATATGTTTAACATCACAACCCACTACTATAAATACATAATTTTGAGTCTTGAGATCCGAAATATAATTTCTCATTTTGTATTCTCTTTGTGTGTAGATATGTTTTTCTGCTGATAGTGTTTTTTTTTCTTGTGACATGTATATCATATAAAATGGCTTTGTGGCAAATTGTGTGGAAATGCTGCCTGATAATGAATGCAGTCTATCAGAAAACATAGATCGTGTTATTGCAAATCCATTTTCTGATTGTAAAAGTAACATTTAAAGAAGCTTTCCTATATTTAGCAAACATTATATTCAACAGATACGTGAATGCTTGATGTTTTTGAGAGCCATCAAAATACTTAGTTATATTCCAAAGAGGAACTAAATATTACCTTATTTCAAACAATTTTTAGTTAAAATAATCTAGGATGACACAGAATGAAAACTAAGTTTCCAAGCCCCACTCTGCTGTGGTTAGCACTCTTGCAGATATAAGTATGTTTGCATAGCATTCAGTCATACTTCAGCCACTGTTTGGCCCTGTGTTTCTTTCAACTAATATATCTCGTTTGTTCTGATAGCCACATCATAAGTTCTCTAATAATAGTTATTTAGATTGGTTTCAGTTTTTTTCTTATTGTAAACAATGCTACACTGAAATTTAAGAGGTTTTAAAGAGGAAAGAAATAATCCATTTTATGTTAAACATATATGAAGAGTTTATTATCTATGTTTTTATGTTATACATTCAAAGGTTTCCCTTTTTGTGTAAATATTTGGATAAAATTATATTTTTTAAACTTTAAAACATTGAGATAAAATTCAACATTTAAATAATTTTATAGTGTGTTATTCAGCACTTTTTAATATATTCACAATGCTACTATGCATCTATAACTACTAATTCCAGGACATTTTTATCACCCCAAAAAGAAATTCATACCTGTTAAGAGACAGTCCCAATATCCCCCACACCCCATTGTCTAGCAATCACTGATCTATTTTCTCTGTGGATTTGCCTTTCTGGAAATTTCATGTAAATGGACTCATACGTAGCCTTTTGTTTTTTAATTATTTTACTGTGTGTTTTCAAGGTTCGTCCCTGTTGTAGCAGGTAACAGTACTGCATTCCTGTCTTAGCTCAAGTTACTATAACAAATACCATAGTCTGGGTGGCTTAAACAACAAACATTCATTTCTATAGTACTGGAGGCTAGAAGTCTGAGATGAGAATGCCAGCATGGTCAGGTTTTAGTGAGGGCCCTCTTCTGGTTTGCAGATGGCTGTCTTTTGCTGTATCTTCATAGTGGGGGTTGTGGGGAGACCTGTGGTTTCTTTATCCCCTTATAAAGCCACCAGTCCCATCATGGGGCTCTACCCTCAAGAATTATATAAACCTAGTTACCTTCCAAACCCCACCTTCAAATATCATCACATTGGGGTCTACGGCTTCAAGATACAGTTTTTGAGGGGGAGGCACACACTCAGTCAATAGCAATTTTCTTCCAAGGCTGAATATTCCATTGATTGTATGGATACACCACATTTTGTTTATTCATTTGTCAACTGATGGACATTTGAGTTGTTTCCACTTTGAGGCTGCTATGAACATTCAGATATAATTTATTATCTGGTTGTATATTTTTAATTCTCTTAGATATACACTGAGGAGTGGAATTGCTGGGTCATGTGATAATTATATGTTTAACTTTTTGAGGAACTGACAAAATGTTTTCCAAAGTAGCTGTATACAATTTTACATATCCGCAAGTGATACAGTCATACCCCACTTGACAGGGATAAGTTTTGAGAAATGCATTTTTAGGTGATTTGTTGTGTGGACATCATGGAGTGCACTTACATAAACCTAGATGGTATAGCCTACCATATACCCAGGCTGTATGGTATGGCACTTTCCTCCTAGGCTACAAGCCTGTACAGTGTGTTACTTTATAAAAACACAGATTAAATCCAGTACAGAGAACATGATATAATCAAAAGGTGTGATAAACAAGATGTATGAGGCTGCTGGCAGAGTAACATGACACACTCTTTTACAGAAAACTTTTTTTTAAATCCTCACATGAGGATAGGTTTATTGATTTTAGAGTGGTAGAGTGGAGGGGGAGAAACACTGATTGGTTGCCTCCTGTATACTCCCCAAAGGATTGAACCTACCACCTAGGTATGTGCCCTGATGGGGAATCAAACATGCATCGTTTTGGTGTATGAGATAATGCTCTAATCAACTGACCCACCTGGCCAAGGCTACAGCAAACTTTTTTTTTAATGAGCATAAAGTACACCATACAATAATGATAAAGTAATAAAAGTACGGTATAGTAAGTACATAAAACAGTAACATAGTCATTTATTATCAAGTATTATATACCATACATAATTCTACATGTTATACTTTTATATCAGTAGAAGTGCAATAGGTTTGTTGCCATTAGCATCACAATAAACACATGAATAATGTGTTGTGCTTTGATGTTATAACTGCTAAGACATCACTAGGCAAAAGGAATTTTTGAATTCCATTGGAATCTCATGGGACCACCTTCATATATGTGATCTGTTATTGACTGAAAGTAATGCAGTGCATGACTGTATGAAAGTTACAATTTCTCCACATCCTTGGAGACACCACTTGGTACTGTCTCTTTTGGTATAGCCATCCTACTGTTTGTAAAGTGGTATCTCATTGAGCCTTTGATTTGCATTTCCTTAATGACTAATGATGTTGAGCATCCTTTTATATGTTTATTGGCCATTTGTACATATTTGGAAAAAATATCTGTTCAACCATTTGCCTATTTTTAAGTTGTATTATTAATTTTTTATTGTTGAATTGTAAGAGTTATTTATATCTTACGGCTACTAGACCCTTATTGTATATAGGATTTGCAAAAATGTTTCCCATTCTGTGTGTTGTCTTTTCACCTGATAGTGTCTGTTCACTGGGTAAGTGTCCCTTGACACACAAAAAAGTTTTAAACTTTTTTATTGAATTTATTGGGGTGACATTGATTAATAAAACCATGCAGATTCCAAGTGTACAACTCAATAACACATCATTTGCATACTGTGTTCTGTGTTCACCACTCAAAGTAAAGTTTCTGCCACTATTTAGTCTCCCCTTTGCCCTCTTCTACCCTCCACTCCCAAAAGTTTTTAATTTTAATGAAGTCTAGTTTATCTATTTTTTCTTTGTATGCTGTGCTTATATTGTAAAATTAGGGAAAAATGGCTATGCCAATTTTCACCTATCTTTTTCTCAGAGTTTTAGTTCTTATATTTAGGTCTCGGATCCATTTTTAGTTACTTTTTGTATATGGTGTAACATAGGGGTCCAAATTCATTCTTTTGCATGTAGATATCCAGTTGTCCCAGCACCATTTGTTGAAAAGGGTATATTCTTTCCTTGTCAAATTGTTTTGGTACCTTTGTGGAAAATGAATTGGTCATAGATGTATAGGTTTAGTTCTGGACTCTCAGTTCTATTCAGTTGAGATATACTTCTATATATCCTGATGCCAGTACTACACTGTTTTTAATTTCCCTGGCTTTGTAGTAAGGTTTGAAATCAGGAAGTGTGAGTTTCCCCACTTTGTTGTTCTTCAGCAAGATTGTTTTAACTACTTGGGGTCTTTTTTGCAACTTCTTATGAATATTAGGATTAAATTGTCCATTTCTGCAAAAAAAGGCAGTCTGAATTTTGATAGGAATTGCATTGAATCTATAGATTGATTTGGGGAGTATTTCCATCTTAACAGTGTTAAGTATTCTATTCTGTGGACATGGGATGGGGCTTATTTATTTATTTAGGTCCTCTTTAGTTTCTCTCCTTCGTTGATGTTAGTTTTCAGTGTCCAAGTCTTGTACTTCCTTGGCTCAGTTTATTCCTAAATATTTCATTAGTTTACTGCAGTTGTAAATACTGCAACTTTGCTGAATTTACTTGTTAGCTTTAATAGTTTATTTTTTTCTCTGTGGATTCTTTAGGATTTTCTGTATTTAACATCATGTCATCTGTGGATAGAGATAGTTTTTCTTCTTTCTTTCAAATCTGGATAGTTGTTTTTTTTTCTTGCTTGATTGCCCTGGCTAGATCTCCAGTACATTGTTGAATGCAAGTGGCAAAAGCAGGTATCCTTTTTTTTTTTTAAAAGATTTTATTTATTTATTTTTGAGAAAGGGAAGGGAGGGAGAAAGAGAGAGAGAGAAAATGTGCGGTTGCTGGGGGTCGTGGCCTTCAACCCAGGCATGTGCCCTGACTGGGAAACGAACCTGCGACACTTTGGTTCGCAGCCTGAGCTCAATCCACTGAGCTACACCAACCAGGAGCAGGTATCCTTTTTGTTCTCTAGTCTTAGGGGAAAAGCTTTCAGTCATTTTTTTCACCATTGAGTACAGTGTTAGCTGTAGATTTTTCATAAATGCCCTTTAACATATTGGGAGATTTCCCTTTTGTTCCTAGTTCATTGTTTTTGTCTGAAAGGTTATTAGATTTTTTCTAATGGTATTTTGCATCTATAGAGATGATTATGTAGTTTATCTCTTTCGTTTTGTTAATATAATGTATAATATTGAGTGATTTTTATATGACTCACCTTGCATTCCTGGAATTAATCCTAATTGATCATGG